GGCTGACTACAGGAAGCCTGAGGCAGAGTTGCTCTGCCCCGGGCTTCCTGGAATCAGCCACTGATCAGTTTCAACAGGCTGAATCTGGACGCCAGTTCCGACTTACATACAGATTCAATTTAAGAACAAACCTATAGTCCCTATCTTGTATGTAACCTGGGGACTGCCTGTAAACTATGCAATTGATGTAGCTCAATTTGCATAGTCTACAGGAAGCCTGAGGCAGAGTTGCTCTGCCCCGGGCTTCCTGGAATCAGCCACTGATCAGTTTCAACAGGCTGAATCTGGACGCCAGTTCCGACTTACATACAGATTCAATTTAAGAACAAACCTATAGTCCCTATCTTGTATGTAACCTGGGGACTGCCTGTAAACTATGCAATTGATGTAGCTCAATTTGCATAGTTTATTTTGAGTTAAGCCCTGCTGTGTGGTAGCACCCTAACTGCTTATTCTGAGTTTGCAGAACACTTGGTACTATGTATTGCTCTGTGCTTAATTAGTTTGGCTGTATGCTAGAGTTGTAGCTGAACTTACAGCATCAAGTTTGCTTTAGGAGACGTGCTGGTAATGGGCATGTCCCTGGTGAGGAGAGGGCTCTGCAGTAATGCAGCATCTAGATTAGTGTGGCAGGAGTTGGTCTCCTTTTGTTGTGTTTGGTACAACATGCTGGATTACACAGCATGTCGCTTGTAATCATTTTTATATCCAAAATCGGGGGAGGTTGCAAACACATTGTTAGAACTCCACAGAACATGGATTCTTTCTTGTGTTTGTGTAAGGGGCAGGGACTTGAGGACTATGCTATCTTGTCCGTGGATGTTCCTCCCACAGAGCCCTGCAATGGAAGAACCAGAAATGTTTTGGAGGAAGCTTTGCTTCTTTTAGGGGGTATGTGATGTTGCAACCAGGTTTTCTCTGAGGCAGCCTTACACATGTAAGAGGACTGAAAATATTCCTGAAAGGTCCATGGCATAATTCTTATGCTCTGGTTATCTTAAGGAAAAGACTGGAGCATGTTAACATGATGTAATTTTTAATGTGAGGACACTTCTGTGAGCCCTGTTGAATTTTAAGTATGGAAGATAGATATCTGAGGAGCCGTGCTTCTCTCTTTTAGGCTGTGTCTAGATTACAAAGGTCTGTCTGAAAAAGATACACAAATTGTGAACCGCAATTTGCATATATTTTTCTGCTTTTCTTCTGAAAGAGGCTTTTTTGATAATTGTCCCCTCTACATTGGGCCAAATGTTGGGGGGCGGGGGGGGGGAGGAGGAAGCCTCTTTCAGAACATCCCTCTTTCCTCATAGAACTAAGTTTACAGGGATGCTGAAAAATGCGTCTGCTTTGCCAAAAAAAATTTCAGAAAAGCAGACATGCTCCTTGGACACGGCAGAGCTTTTCTGGGATACCTATCATGGAAAAAATCTGCAATCTAGATGTACCCATAGAGGTTGGACTGCCACATCATAGCACCATTTCATTTACTAGTCCGCACTTGTGACATCCAGAAGGTTTCTTTTTAATTAAGCTTTTATTAAATGGGATTTGAGAAGATGGGTGTGAGTGGAGCAGGTAGGATCTGTCTACTTTATTAATGCTTCAGCGTTAATAATACTTCTGGAACTTACTGGGCATCTGACTGGCTGAGCTGATGTTTTGTTGATGGTGATAGTATTTGGAGAATAGTGCAGCATTATTAATGTTTAAACCGGTTTGGCTTGTCCTGCTATCATCAGTCCCTGAGGCCTGTTCTTTCTACCTGTTTCTCATCTGTTCCTCCCAATCAAATCAAGATATTGTTGTCATGTGTAACATTATTTTCCATCTGCTTCACTTTCTGACTTGGGCAGGCTCATAGGTG